GTCGTCAAAACTACCAATTTCGGACAATCGCCCTCAAAATAATTGATGAAATAGTTTTGGGACCCATCGACAGAAGAAAAGTAGAAACTTGAGGCGAAAATAATGAAAAAAACGGCTGTTACGGCCCGACCTGATTTCAGGTCGGTAAAATATGGTAACTCGCATAGGATGGAACTGTAGCTCCCTGGTTTCGCGTTAACACCACGACGAACAAAATAACCGACAGCGAAACCAAGCGAGCTACAGAACTGCAGCTACCCAAGGTATACAACAAAGAGGAAATATCAGGTGTTTCGAAAACGGTGAGCACATTCTAGTACCTGCTATGTGTAGTCATAAAGGTCTACGCGAGACACGGTTTTAGTAACCGTGGTGGAACAGTGTCATCATTTTCACTATAGTCTTATTAAAACTGATCACATACAATAAACAAATGACGTTCATGATACATATTATAGTATTGACTGTCAATTCATCTTGAAGTTTCAAGGTCAATGTTCCGGCAAAGCACTCCACTATCACTTTTCATTAAGACTGTGACAGTGCCCTCACAGTTTAGTATCAGTTTATCAACAACCAATCAGATTGTTTCTTTCATAAACACGCTTGGCCAAGCAATCAAAACAATTACGGCTGCGCACAGTTGAAGCTGTGTTAGCGGGATTACCGAGAGATCAAACAACTCACAGATATTCAGACAAAAGCTGTTCAAGCTATACTTAGTTCCGAGTGTGATTTGTTCGTTGTTTGTCGCATAGTCGCACTGGAAGTGGCAAATCATTAAATGTTATTATGCTTTACCGGCCTTGCGACCATCGAGCGTGGTGATTGTGTTGTGTATTATGGAGGAGCAGCTGAATACCTCAGCTCATGATGTCACTGCAATATATGTCGGCAGAAATGTAAACTGTCTATAGCACAACCACGTGACATACACGGCTATAAACGGAGTTACTTGGCATGCCACAAATAAATGTATCAGAGGCCGTGAAATCGAAATTACAGACAGATATACGAACATATAAACATGCAATATAATTCCCATACTCTTGTGCATAGTACGAGTGCTAGAAATGTGACTTATTAGACGTATTAACAGGGGGGTTTTCCCTCTGAGAAGGGCCGCAATCTTTACATATATCACATGTGTTGTTTTTACTGCATGACCGATATTTCAGGCATATCGGATAAGAATCACCAATTATAACTAGTCTGGTGGTACAGCCGGTCTCATCAGGCATCCTATAATAAAGCAGTGTTACACATGCACACACAAATTCGAGACGGTAATTGAGAAATGCCACCTGTGAGACGGGACGCACTTTCATATATCGTGTTTGCCAGGGACAAGATCAAACTATACCCAAGAATTTTAAACCCTACCTTACGAGTGAGTGGGTAAAAAGTAGTATGTCTGAATATAGTGAAACTAATTATACTACTTAAAGTCATATATGAGAAGTTTAGTATTGATGTGGTACTAGAAAAGGTTGTCCACTCAATCCAACTCTTTGTCTAATGAAATTAGTTACTTTTCCGTCTGTGTCTCTGACTGTTATTCAGCAAACTTGGCTTTAATGTGTGTGTAAATCTATGATTTAAAGTAGTAGAAATACAGTTCTTGTTTGCGTCTGGAAAATCTAGTGAGTATATTGGTAAACTTCACTCAATCACAAATCATTCAACTAGTTAATATTCGACATGAATTGTAGTCGACGACGGCCATGGAGCATCTGACAGAATCACCGTGTATATTCCGAACCAATTTATTAGAAGTTTACCACTCAAACGATAAGCCTGTGCCTTTCATTTTTTCGTTGTATATCCTCTCAAAGGCCTCATTTTCAGCTACAGTGAAAACGTTTTTCCAGTCGCCAACAATGCCTGAAAAAAAAGATAAATTCATTAGGATTTAAACATATTTAAATGTATTGATATATCTAGGTCAAATGTTCACATTTCAATGTAAATACTGCAATTTTTAATTAGCCAAAACACTCATAAGAGTTTAACAGGATACTTTAATCAAAAACGAACTTTGCCTTTTCATATATTAATAAAAATATATAGGAAATAAAAATTCCCTAAAGTCAGTGAATGAGCAATGGCATTAGAGGTTAGGGTCATCACTATCAAATGTTCAGCACCAATATATAGCAAATTTGATGTAAATCTGTTCTACAATTTTGAGATTTTGCTTGCACAGACTGAAATAAGACAATGTGCAAATTAGCTACTTAATATGCACATTCGTAGCTTCAAAACTAATCATGTCTGCACATTCACCCACGGTACCTATGTACTAAATTTGATCAAAATAAGCTTTTATTTTTTGCTTATACAGACTGAAATGAGATAATTAATATTCAAACTAGCTACTTAATATGCATGGATATGACCATAATACTAATCATATCTACACTTGCTTACACAGAGAGTCGCACACTCAGACAGACACACCAAACCCATTACCTTACACAGGTAAGCTAAAAATACAAGTTGTTTAGAAAAATGCATCATATTTCTATACAAGACATGGAATTTAGAAAACAAATAGGTATGCGAGTTGAAAACTAATTTAACAATTTTGTTATTGCTACTAAACAATTGCACACGATATTTATTATACATTGAGTTGTGCCTGAGAGTCTCAAATTTAAAATGCTAATATATATTCACATATTAGTAGCGTTGCAGTCCATCCCAAAACCTTTTATTTAATTTTATTTCAAATGCCCATAAAATAATTAATTATTTATGTTGT